CACACAGTAAACCAATCTGCATACAATAACAAACTGCACTGAGCGACCATTAGGAAAGGCGAGACATGACCGACACATGAGTCATAGGCTAGACGTGCATGCCTGCTGCACCTGTTGCAATCGATTTTTGTGTTGCGGCGCCGCACCGTCAGGAGCAACAAGAAAGAGTACACTCACGCTTGCAAACAAGCGGCACACTTTTCTCATCACTGATTTATGCGTGTTGTGTTTTTTTAGGGGTGTCGGATAAGATGGAATGTCGGATAAGCGAAGGTCGGTTAAACGAGACTCTACTGTAATGAGAATGGGATAGGGAGCTGGTTTATGTTACTTGCGCTTCTGTCTTGCCTGATGGAGGTAAAGCTGGTTGGCAGCGTGGGGGATGGAGTGCAGCACTGGAGATAAAACTGCTACAGTGGGTGTGAGGGTCCAGGAGCTAGCTGGATGAAAGTGCCCAAAGAAACCCACATCCTCCTGAGTTACTCACCTATATCCTCACTTGCAAATCTTACCAACCGTCTTGCTACATACAGTGGATCCTCACCCCCTTCAAGCATTCAAGCGAGCCAGTAAAGGGAAGCATTTTCGTCAGAGCCACGCATAGATTTATGCAGTGCAGAGATGCAGTTATAATGCTCTTCACCTATTGAGAAACAGACCAAAAGCAACACGCTGCTTGGGTCATCCAATGCATCTGAGTAGCACTGGCTGTGCAATTTAAATAATATTTTTCCCGACGCATATATTTATTACAGTCTGCCTGTATTACCTTTAAAGACAGGTAAAAGTTGCATTCTTCAAAACAGCTGTGTGCAAAGACCCTGCTGCATGTTTTTTGTTCCCAGCCTCAAGCTGCTTTTTGTGGGACATTATATCAATAGTTTTACATTATATTATATTGGTGACACAACACATGACAATATTGAAGACTGCATCATTCTGCCTCTGAATTTCCAGGCAAACCTTTTTGTATTTTCATTAGCAGAAGGGTACATCCACACCCCTCCCTCTTCTGTGGGATTTCCTGAAAGTGGATCTAGGTGTATCTCACAAGAGTGGCCTCTTCCACAACACACAAGGCTAACAGACAGCTATTTTTAATAGTGCTCCACACCAAGAGCCAATTGGGATGCTGTCATTATCAGGTTAATATAAGCAGCCTGTCTACACTCCCTGTCCACAGAGCTCAGGCTTTCAGCTCTGCTTGAGCTGGCAGCAATAAACAAAGCAGCTGAGAGTCTTGTCCCACTCTTGGGAACGGGTCACCTGGTCTCCTCCCACCAAGGTGGCCTTTAAATATTCCAAAAGGCAAGTGCAGCCTGTTCTTCTCAGGTGGCATCCTTTTGTGCAGTGTTTTTAACCCCTCAGATGTTTTGAAAGTATTAGAAGTGGGAAAATAGGGGGGGAAATGAGCTCTAATGATATAGAGATATGTTTACATCAATATTATTATAACTGCCATTAAATATTCATCTCTAAAAGTCCCAAATTATGCATGTAATGAAGAAAGTTGTGACCTGCAACAGTTTCTTATGAAATAATTAAATGGTATCCAAAGGAGAAAAGTAACCTATAAAAATCTGTTGAGGCTAGAAAAAAATAAAAATAAAAGAGAATTACTTCTCCACAGCAGCAAAGGAAACTTGAGAAATAGCTCAAGAACATTTGAAGTACAGGAAGAACTACAGTTGCCAAAGAGTGAGTAAAAGAGAAATTATTTCTGGATAATGTTGAAATGTATGCCCTAAAAGCTTTAAATGTTAAGTTCTGTAAATCTTAAAGCAACGCTTGGAAATGTATTACAGCACATCACAATGGATGTCTTCAACTTCTTTGGCCATGCTGGCTGGGAACTAGAGGAACTGAAGTCCAATATACGTGAAGGGTGCTATGTTTGCAAAGGCTGGTACAAATATACCAAATTGTCTTGAACAATGCCAGGCCATTGATTCATTTAACCCATAACTGTTTGTTCTGACTGGTACTGGTTCTCCAACTGGAACTCTCAAGAGAACTTTTTCCGCCTTGCTGTCAAGCATATATTCTGTCTAGAGATGCTGAGAGATGAAACAATGGAATTTCCTTTTGCAAAGTTATACTCCGATAGTTTCAATCTCACCCCAACAAGTGTACTGGACTTTTATTTTGGAATATTAATTAGCTTTTCTGAGAGCTTATCTAGGTGAGTCTACTATTTATTTAAAGCTCCAATTCAGATGTTTTGGATGAGTCACTGATTACATTTGGCTTCTGTTGAAATACAAATTATTTCTACTTAAGTGTATCTTTTTTCACTTTCATGGTATATGCCACCATTATTGTAAACAAAACCAGTTCAACTTACAGTGCTCAATGAAAAAAAAAAATAAGGCCAGTGACTTATATAGGATATGTTTGCAACACATGGTAATCAGTGCAGATTTTAAAAACTGAACAGTACACATATGGCCACATCTTAATATAAAGAGAATAATCTATATGACAAGCATATAACCAAGAGTTCAGCACTTAGAAGTAAGAGCAATGGCCATATATTTTAGTGTCTGTCCAAGGACACTGCCAGAAACAGGATGAAATAGATTATTGGCCAAATTCTGTAAAGCTGTACACTTCGAAATGGAATAATTGCTGCTGCAAGATTGAACAAAAAGGGGAGATATTGTACTATTGTCATAACGTATGCCCCTTTTTTTGGTTAGAGTTGCATTTTGCACAAAGCTTAAAGTAGTATGTATTTCCCTTATTACAGGGCTTACTCTGTGCCATTGGAGAGTTAAAAAAAAGTTTTACAAAATATAGATAAGAAAAGCTAGCAACAGAGTAAAGCTTAGTACTGAGAAAATTAGAAATATGCCTATCATATAATTAAATACCAGCACATAACTAATTTAATGCAAGCAGACAAGTCTAATCCTCAAAGCACAATCTACAATTTTGATCTTACTACAAAGACTAGAGTTTGTGATACAAAATGAGGTCAAGAGATGAATTTAGCAAGAGGTTGTATCAAATTAAGAATCCTTATATGCAGTTACATGCAAATTGTCCAACATAAAAAAATTACAAAACAATTTCAATCACTCAGATTGAAGTAAAGTCCTGCATAGATATTGTTAGCATCATTATATTATTTTTAAAAGAAATGTCAATACATTGCTGAAAGTGCTCTAGGGGAAACATACAAAATGCCACGTTATTCTTAGCCACAAAGAAAGCCATTTTATTCAACTGCCACACTGCTGTAGGGACTGCTACTATGTGTTATCCTATCCCTTCAAATGCTGTTCCCTTTGAGACCAGAGCATGGAGTTTACATTCACTGCCAATCTCCTTTCATTAGTTTCCTCTTGCAGAGCCCTGTGGCCTCTTCCTATTCTTTGCACCTTTTGCTGGAACAGGTGCAGAGACTCTGCAGAACAGCCAGTGAGAATCAGGCCAACTGAATTAAACAAATGCCTTTTGGCATCATGGTTTCTTCCATACATAGAAACACAGGGAGCAGCATTATACTGACTAGTGTACTTAGTTTTAACCATTGTGATTTGTAAACCATGCTTATGTCTTGCTACAGTGTCTAAAACTAGATTCTGTGGCAGTCTCAGCAAACTACCGATTAGATCAATGCGTGAAACCACCTGCTGAATCAGATTACAGGCAGACCTAGCCCAGTATTGCTGATAGTGATAGCAGTGATTCTTTAGGGCAGGGTTGGCAACCTTCTGTGGAGGGGACAGAGGCCACACTGTGCCATTTTCTCCTGTTTCTCTCTCAGCTTGCTTTTACCAGCCCCAGGTGGGGACTTTTTTGCTCTGCCTGCACCAAGGTGGCTGATAAAGCCATCGGCAAAATGGCCACCCAAAGAGGCAGCAAGTGCTTCCAAGAACAGCCGAATGGATAGCCACTCTCTCATGGGCCGGATGTATATATTTCTTTTTGGGAAAGAAATATACAGGCTGGATGATTTCAGCCCATGGGATGTAGGTTGCCGACCTCTGCTTTAGGGCATCAGGCAAGAGTTTCTGAAGCTTGGAAGTGGTAGGGACTGAACACGGATCTTGTGTCATCAAAGCAGATGCTTAATATTGAACTATAAGTATAGACTGCATTTAAACTGGGATTTTATTATTTTATGGACTTGTTCCCAGCTTTACTGTATGTATTCATTTTACTGTAACTTGTTTTTAGAGTAAGGTTGGGGATAAAATAAATTTGGATGGAATAATAGGCCATACTGGCTGGAAATTCTGGGAACAATAAAGCTAAACAATGGTAGGTAGTAGAAGATGTGATAAACCAATGTTTTAATCTCCTGATGTGGCTTGAATCTCTCCTCCCCACCCCCAGCACACTGCAGAAGAGCCGATTTCATTAGACCCATGCTGGGAGTGAGGGGTGGTCTTTGAAGGTGCACTCTGAAGACTTTTATTCACACCTGAATGAGGTGATTCTTTGGAGACAAAATGGCTAAATTTTGGAAGCTGCTATGTAAATATAACTTGAAGAGTGTTATATTTTGGGGAAGAGTGATTTAGAGTAAGGATTCTCAAACTTTTTTGTCTCACGACCCCCTTACTTTCCTAAAAATTATCGAGGACCAGAAAGAGCTTTTGTTTATGTGGGTTATATCTATCAATATTTACCATATTAGAAACTAAAACTGAAAAAAATAAAATATGTCTTAATTTATTTAAAAATAATAAACCCATTACACATTAAGATAAATAACACATTTATTAAAAATAGCCCTATTTTCTTAAAAAAAAAATAGTAAGAAGAGTGGTATAGTTTTACTTTTTTTGCAAATCTGTTTAATGCCTGGCTTAATGGAAGACAGCTGGATTTTCATATCTGCTTCTGCATTCAATCTGTTGAGATATGTTGGTTTGGTTTAAGTATATGAAGAAAATCCAGCCTCACAGAGATATATAGTTGGAAAAGGGAGGAGTATTTTAACAGCCTTTTCAGATATTTTTCTTCTTCTAGATCATTCTAGATCATCTAGATCTCAACGGGGGCGGTACCGTCCCCGGGGGGGCAGTGGGAGGATGCTGAGGGGCGGTGAACTTGTTTTGGGTGGTAGGGGGGCGGTGGGCACGTTTTGGGCGGTAGAGGGGCGATGAGCATGTTTTGGCATTCGAGCTTAATTTTTAAAATTCCAAAAAAAATTATTAAA